GAGTCAGATGCTTAACCGACTGCACCACCCAGGTGCCCCAAGACTTGAGTTTCTTAAATCCGTGTTTCTCATGCTGGGATTCGGTGAGTGTATCCCCAGGGGTTTCTGCATTATTCAGGTTTGAGGAACACAGATCCAGTGCCTTCTGAGGCTGACCCAAGTCTCCTCAGTAGCACCTTGCCCTCCCTACTTGAGAGGGGACTTGGGTTCTGACCCAGACCTACGTCCTAAGAGGTGTCCCAGAAGGTCCGCTTTATTCCAGAGTGGTGGGCTGGCAGCTTAAGATTCCTCCAGTCTCAGGTACAAGGGGTGTAGACTGAAACCCTTGGGCTCTGGCATTTCCTTAGACCACGCATGAGTTCATGAAGATTCTCACCTACACACCAGGTTGCTCCCTTGGAAGGGGTACTTTGCTGGACCCCGCCGCCTGGTGACAGTGATACCGTAAAGTATTGGAGCTTGTGAATCATATATGCCTATTCTGTCTTGCTTCCCCCACCCTCACCCTGCCCCTCAGATGTGTGGCCTTGAGAAAATATACTCATACGACTCTGCACCTCAGTTTTCCTCATCTGATAAATGGAGCTGTAGGAACAAGTCACACAGCGGTTGCTTCCGTTAAGGGACACCTCGACTGCCCGATCAAGGCAGGTTGTTTCCCTTCTTCAGTTGACATCCAAGAGTACTTCCATTCACCACTGCCCTCCCTTGCTCTCATCAGGCCTCCGGGGGTCCAAATGAGGTAATTCCAGGCCAGGGGTCTATCAGTCCCAAGCCTCTGGGAAAACTGCCCAGTTGCCCCTAGGCAGTGCCAGAGAGGGTGGGTGCAGCTCTGAGGTCGGTGCCAGGGACCCAAGGAAGGCGGGCGCAGAAGCGCGACCCTTCTTTACTCCAGCTTCACACCCGCAGGCGGCGTTCTAACCCCTGGAGAACCTCTGCCCAGGACCGCAACCCTTCCCAACATGGCCGCCCCATCAGGCCGCCTCGCGCGGGGCCGCCGCGCTGACGTATGTGCGAGCGCCTCCTCCGCGCCGGCCCCCGGCGCATGCGCATTCCGCGCTGTCTTCTCCCGGCCAGAGCAGCAGCGGCGGCGGCGGCGGCGTTTGAGTGGAGGAAGATGGCGGCTCCGGGCGGTTCGGGGTCCCGCCAGCTGTGAGGCGCTTGAGTGCGGCAAGCGCGGCCTGAGGCGAAGCGCCTCTGCTCTGGCCCTGTCCCCGGCTCCCTCATCGCCGTCGCCAGCGGCGCGAACCCGAGAGCGTGGCGCGGGCTGGGCCAGGTGAGGCCTCTCCCCCTCCTGGGGCCGCGGCGGGGAGCCGGCGGCTTTTGCCCTTTATGCCCCAGGCCCGCAGGGGGCAGGGGGCGTCCCGGGTCCCGCGCTGGACGCGCATCCTGCGCGGGGGTCGGTGCTGGCTGGCCTGGGGGCCTTGCTGTCGTCATCCTCGGCCTCCCTGGGTTGGGCAGGGAGGAGGAGTGCCCCTTTCCACCCGGCCCCTCTCCTCAAGCAGGGCGGTACACGTCCCCTCGCCGGGGCCACGAAAGGGGATCTGACCGGAGCAAGGATGGCTGTAAGGGTGTCAGGTAATCTTTCGCCCAGCCCCGGAATCCCGTAACGCCTTGCGCCGAGGAGCCGGAGCCCGGTGCCTTCCCAAATTGGGGCTGCGGCGAGGGGGCCAGCGTCTTTGAAGCTGAAGCTGCAAAGGAAAGATTTTGGAACTGGCTTTGAAAAATTAGACGCAAGCAGCCGGTCTCACCGCCTAGCTTTTCGAGGGTTCCTCCGGCGAAGTGGGAACCGCGGGTCTCCTTGCTTGAGACAGCCATCCACGTTGTGACTGTGAGAATTGTGCAAAGGGGACGGTGCAGGGTGGGAACGGGTCTGTAAGCGGAGAACAGCCCGTTCTGAGATCTTCGTGGTCTCTGCAGGCTCACTTAGGTGCTAGTGAAGCCTTCGTTTGTTTGAAACCTTTGTATTTTTGGGATTCGGCGTAGCCGGTTGCTTTTTGTCTGTTAAATCTCCCCGAATTTTATTAGGAAAATAAAAGCTGCTTTTCTTAATTGCCGAAGTCTTCGGAGTTTCGATGGTGGGATTCTGATTGCTCGGGGTGAAGATTCAGACACCTTAGCAGTTCGCACTTGCTGGCAGGGGCCTTGTGCTATGCCTGTTATTCCTTTCTGAGAGTAAGTTTTTGTTGTTGTGCAATTGCTAATTTGGAGATTCTGATTTCGTTTATCTCACGCTGGGAAGCCGGTTTGAAGCCTTGTGGTCTCTTCCTTGAAGGATGATGGAATCAGTTGGAATTGTGCTATATGGGCGTTTGTTGAGGCGATGGCTTTGGGCTTGGACACACCGACTACCTTTGTAACTTAAATTTGCTTTGCTTATGTTTAAAATGATGACATCATGGGTAAAGGGAGAAGGAAATTAGAGGGGGAAATGCCCCATTTAGAACTGAACATTTACCATGCATCCTGAAAAAAAACAAATAAAATGCATCCTGTAGCTTTTACAGCGAGTAGTGACTCTCTGTGTCAGATTCCTAACTTTGTGCATATTCATGTGTCTAATCTGATTGGGTGTCCTTTGTATTGTGTGTTGTCATTTTATACCCTGTAAACTGTTTGCTTTTGACAAACCCAGTATGAATCTTAATCTATGTCGACCACGGATGTTTCCTTTACTTCAAAAAGCTTTTAACTGTTAAAATGACAACTGTTTGGTTTAATATTAGCTAATTCTTTGTTTTTTTTTTCCTTAAAGCCTTTCCCATAGAAATTTGTAGATTTTCTTAGTGCCTTCCATAAGGACGTAAACGTGAGCAGATAACGTCTTCATCATAGAAAATTTGAGAGCCACTTTACATTTCAATTTGCTAATGAAGAGTCATGAAATTAATGCAGTAAAAGATCCCGATCGTTTGACATTATGCATCTTGGCATAATGTGTTGCATTGTTGTGCTAAATCATCACCAGGTATTGATGCAACTTCATGACATCCATGACATCATTCATTCTCCAGCGTTTGGCCTTTTGCAATTCTTTACCCTTCCAGAGTCACGAAAAGAATAGGATCAGGGGAAAAAAAATAGCTTAGGATGCTCTTTACTGTCTGATTTCTAAGAGCCTTTGTGTAACACTGCTTTATGTAGTTAAAACTCTCCTGTACGATTCAGGGCGGTGTGTGATTCCTACCTATTATGAAGAGCAGACACGGAAAATGCTAATAAAACCTCTGGGTTTTACAAGAATATTGAGGTCCCAAGGAGAAGGTATTTCAAAGATGAACACATGCGTGATTATCTTTTGTGATTTCAGGGTTGTTTTAGTCTGTGCATTAACAATTCTTTATAAAACCAGAAGCTGTCTGGTTAACTAATGCCTTTTCCACTCCCAAGATTGTTACGTGAGTCAAAAGAGGTGATGTTTTGTGAAAGTTCTTTGTGAAATAAAAGGTAAACGTAAGATTGATTATTCGATGATCGGTTTCATGAAAATCCCTACCGAGGGCCCTCTAAATATGCTGGGCATTTTGGGAAGTAGGCACTAGTGATTCTAAGATAAGACACCTTTTGATCTCAAGTTGCCTATAGTCTGGTTGGGGAGCCGGACAAGGAAACTGGTTAAGTATATTGTAGCGTAAGAAGTGAGAAGTGCACAAAATCCAACCAAGGGAGTCAAGGAAGGCTTCTCAGGACCAGGATTACTCTCCATTCTTTCCTGTTGCTGCAGAAAAATCTGCCTTTTGTGAGTGACTTGCTTTTTATGAGACCTTAAAAATTTTTTTATCGTGAGTTCTTTCCCCCTTTTATTCATTCAGCGTCATGACACCTCCCACACAGTATGCCCCAGGTATGATTTCTGCATCCTCAAAAATCCAACAGAGTCTTGGGAGAACCTGAGAGTGAGTCATACACCAGGCAGCAAACACAAACATTGCAGCTGCAGTTACAATATCTCAGGTTACTGAATGGTGACAACGTTGGAGTGGTGCTGTTTTTGTTTTTGTTTTCTAAACTGGCACAAGAAGTACTGTATGATTTTATTTACTTTGATCATGTTTGGTTAATGTTTAGTTGTGAGTCCCTTAGAATCTTGATTATAAGTGGTTATCGGTACTGTCTCCCTTCTCCCAGTAATAAATTAAGTGAGAAAGTCCTTTGCCTTTTTGGGTGAAGTTGATAATTTAAACCAGAACTATACTAAGCTATTTTATAGAATCTACTCACGTAGGTTGAGATTGCTTAGAATCTGTGATACTGAGTTTCTGCATCCCAATACAGTTCCTCATCTTAGTACTGTGGTAGTTTTATAATTAATTAAGCATGTTGTCCCATATGTTGCGAAAATTTTGAGTTTTTGGATGTGTAGAATCTTTGGTGCAGTATTAATTGAATATTTACAATTTGGTAACACTCATGTTTACATGTTACCATGTAAACACTCAACACTAAAAATGAGGGCTTTAATGCTGTGGTTGACAGAAAAGTGAAAGTGATGTGTTCACTTATTTTTTTTTTTTTGTAATTGTGAGTTTGTTACATGTACAAGGACAATGGACAAGTCATTTAAAAGTTGCCCAGGGGTGCCTAGCTGGCTCAGTTGGTAGAGCATGGGATTCTTGATCTCGGGATTGTGAGTTCCAGCCCCATGTTGGGTGTAGAGATTGCTTTACAAAAATAAAATATTTTTAAAAACTTGCCCAGTATTGGGGCACCTGGCTGGATCATTTGGAAGAGCATGCAACTCTTGATTTGGGGGTTGTGAGTTCAAGCCCCACATTGGGCATATAGCTTACTGTAAGCCAAAAAAAAAAAAAA